TGGAGAGTTACGAGGATATTACCCTACTTAAATTACATTCAACGTATTGCTAATATTTCTGGTATCAAAATTTAATGTCAAAATGACAGAATGAAGTCTTAAATTTGAAACTGGTACACTTCGCTCCATTCCTGAAAGGTAATGGAGCGAGCAGACAATGGAATGACGTCACAAATGTAATTTAATGCTGCTGAGAGATCCTAAAAGATAGGGACTTTTCTAACATTTTGCCTAGGAGTATGACCTCAATGCAGCGCACGTTACTAAAGGCTTGGCGATGCACGCTTTTCTCATTTCGCGTGGTCACCGAGGCGTGGCGGGATAATACGACTGTTGTACTCCCTGCTGGCGGATCGTGACGGGTGTACGTGGTATTTTATCAGTCACGTGAACCAATCAAAACTCGACATTCTTACATGAGGCTGGATAAAGTATATTAGCATCCTAGTATAATCAGAAAAACAATATTGTTGAGTGCCTATCATGAGTGTTACCTTTGTGCTGAGGCCTACATTGTATATGCCTACGACGTGCTTGTCAGTTGTCGGAAATTGATATTTCACGAGGTTAAATGTGAAAAGAGATAATCGAAAAGCTTTGGCATCACATCACTTAGTATCGAATGAAACATTTGCATACCTGCCAACTCTCACAGCTTTGGCTTGAGACTCACGGTTTTATTACTCATGTCACGCTCTCACGATAAAACGTGTTCCATAGGAAGTAATGCTGATTTGACAAAAGTCAAACCATTTGAAGGTTCCACCCTGCCCATTAGACCCCGGCATCTCAAGCTTTTACCTCTGTTGTTGTTTGAAGCTCTACATATGGTTAAGTAGGAATATTGTTAGGCACACAATATGACATACACCACTACCTTCCCCTTATATTCTTCCCATTACACGCATATACAACCCAGGGCGACTTGGAGACTCATGTGGGACCCCTGTTGCTCAAGCGCAAAGTGCACGTGTGATCATATCAGGAACACATTTCACGTGAATCAAATAGTGTTCCTATAGTTACGCAAATAGGTCTGAAGGTCTGTTCATGTGATTATCTATTCGTTCTTGTTTTAACTTGACATTTGCATTACAAATGGGACATACATATTTGTCAACTGCGATGTGTGCCTCTGTGTTTGTTATATTTCAACAAATCATTTCCGATGTCGTAAGACTGCCAGTAGACTAACGCCTTACATATTTTATAATTTTTCACTTTATGTCACTACACAATACGACACTGTATGCAGCTTCAGTAAATTTCTTTTCTCAGTTATCTTCGTTATCGGAGACAAATAAAAGTGTTGAAAACTAAAATAAGTGAAGACAATTTCCATTGTTCTCGCACTAATGTGAAGCAGCCATAAAATATATCTCCAGTGCTCCCACACTATCAGTTTGTTCCTTTGTCAATTTGTAACTGTGGTCAAATGGCCCACAATTACTGGGTATATGAGTGGGTTGGTGGATGAACTGCTAGACATTGAATTTGAAGGCTCTCAGGTTTCAGCATCACACTTTCAAGCATGACAAATTGAACTGGTATCATTTTCGACATCTTCACTACATTAACACTAAATTGAATGCTTTGAAATAGCAGTTTCAGATTTCTCCAGCACAACACATGTCACCTCCAATCCTCCACCAAACTGTGTCACAATATTTTCCTGTTTTATCCAACCCATCACATGCCACTCATCACTTCCTGTCGTCAGAACACCTTTCACACGCGCCCTTCCCTCGACCCACCTGTTTAAATGCGCCCTTCCATCGACAGACCTGTTTGAATGCACTCTTCCCTCGACCCACCTGTTTGGATGCACTCTTCCCTCGATCCACCTGTTTAAATGCGCCCTTCCATCGACCCACCTGTTTGGATGCACCCTTCCTTCGACCCACCTGTTTGGATGCACCCTTCCCTCGACCCACCTGTTTGGATGCGCCCTTCCATCGACAGACCTGTTTGGATGCACCCTTCCCTCGACCCACCTGTTTGGATGCACCCTTCCCTCGATCCACCTGTTTAAATGCGCCCTTCCCTCGACCCACCTGTTTGGATGCACCCTTCCCTCGACCCACCTGTTTGGATGCACCCTTCCCTCGATCCACCTGTTTAAATGCGCCCTTCCATCGACAGACCTGTTTGGATGCACCCTTCCCTCGACCCACCTGTTTGGATGCGCCCTTCCATCGACAGACCTGTTTGGATGCACCCTTCCCTCGACCCACCTGTTTGGATGCGCACCCTCAACTAGACCCACCTGTTTGGATGCACCCTTCCCTCGACCCATCTGTTTGGATGCACCCTTCCCTCGACCCATCTGTTTGGATACGACCTTCCCTCGACCCACCTGTCTGGATGCGCCCTTCCATCGACAGACCTGTTTGGATGCACCCTTCCCTCGAACCACCTGTTTGGATGCACTCTTCCCTCGACCCATCTGTTTGGATACGGCCTTCCCTCGACCCACCTGTTTGGATGCACCCTTCCCTCGACCCACCTGTTTGGCTGCGCCCTTCCCTCGACCCAACTGTTTGGATGCGCCCTTCCATCGACAGACCTGTTTGGATGCACCCTTCCCTCGAACCACCTGTTTGGATGCACTCTTCCCTTGACCCATCTGTTTGGATACGGCCTTCCATCGACAGACCTGTTTGGATGCACCCTTCCCTCGACCCACCTGTTTGGATGCACCCTTCCCTCGACCCACCTGTTTGGATGCACCCTTCCCTTGACCCATCTGTTTGGATGCACCCTTTCCTTCGACCCATCTGTTTGGATATGGCCTTCCCTCGACCCATCTGTTTGGATGCACCCTTCCCTCGACCCACCTGTTTGGATGCGCCCTTCCCTCGACCCACCTGTTTGGATACGGCCTTCCCTCGACCCACCTGTTTGGATGCGCCCTTCCATCGACATACCTGTTTGATGCACCCTTCCTCGACTCCACCTGTTTGATGCACCCTTCCCTCGAGCCACCTGTTTGGATGCACCCTTCCCTCGACCCAACTGTTTGGATGCGCCCTTCCATCGACATACCTGTTTGATGCACCCTTCCTCGACCCACCTGTTTGGATGCACCCTTTCCTCGACCCACCTGTTTGGATGCACCCTTCCATCGACAGACCTGTTTGGATGCACCCTTCCTCGACTCCACCTGTTTGGATGCACCCTCAACTCGACCCACCTGTTTGATGCACCCTTCCTCGACCCACCTGTTTGATGCACCCTTCCCTCGAACCACCTGTTTGATGCGCACCCTCAACTCGACCCACCTGTTTGGATGCACCCTTCCCTCGACCTACCTGTTTGGATGCACCCTTCCTTCGACCCACCTGTTTGGATGCACCCTTCCCTCGACCCCCTGTTTGATGCGCCCTTCCATCGACAGACCTGTTTGATGCACCCTTCCTCGACCCACCTGTTTGATGCACCCTTCCCTCGATCCACCTGTTTAAATGCGCCCCTCCCTCGACCCACCTGTTTGGATGCACCCTTCCCTCGACCCACCTGTTTGGATGCACCCTTCCCTCGATCCACCTGTTTAAATGCGCCCTTCCATCGACAGACCTGTTTGGATGCACCCTTCCCTCGACCCACCTGTTTGGATGCGCCCTTCCATCGACAGACCTGTTTGGATGCACCCTTCCCTCGACCCACCTGTTTGGATGCGCACCCTCAACTAGACCCACCTGTTTGATGCACCCTTCCCTCGACCCATCTGTTTGGATGCACCCTTCCTCGACCCATCTGTTTGATACGACCTTCCTCGACCCACCTGTCTGATGCGCCCTTCCATCGACAGACCTGTTTGGATGCACCCTTCCCTCGAACCACCTGTTTGATGCACTCTTCCCTCGACCCATCTGTTTGGATACGGCCTTCCCTCGACCCACCTGTTTGATGCACCCTTCCTCGACTCCACCTGTTTGGCTGTGCCCTTCCCTCGACCCAACTGTTTGGATGCGCCCTTCCATCGACAGACCTGTTTGGATGCACCCTTCCCTCGAACCACCTGTTTGGATGCACTCTTCCCTTGACCCATCTGTTTGGATACGGCCTTCCATCGACAGACCTGTTTGGATGCACCCTTCCCTCGACCCACCTGTTTGGATGCACCCTTCCCTCGACCCACCTGTTTGGATGCACCCTTCCCTTGACCCATCTGTTTGATGCACCCTTCCTTTCGACCCATCTGTTTGATATGGCCTTCCCCTCGACCCATCTGTTTGATGCACCCTTCCTCGACCCACCTGTTTGATGCGCCCTTCCTCGACCCACCTGTTTGGATACGGCCTTCCTCGACCCACCTGTTTGATGCGCCCTTCCATCGACATACCTGTTTGGATGCACCCTTCCCTCGACCCACCTGTTTGGATGCACCCTTCCCTCGAGCCACCTGTTTGGATGCACCCTTCCCTCGACCCAACTGTTTGGATGCGCCCTTCCATCGACATACCTACCTGTTTGGATGCACCCTTCCTCGACCCACCTGTTTGATGCACCCTTCCTCGACCCACCACCTGTTGGATGCACCCTTCCATCGACAGACCTGTTTGGATGCACCCTTCCCTCGACCCACCTGTTTGATGCACCCTCAACTCGACTCCACCTGTTTGATGCACCCTTCCTCGACCCACCTGTTTGATGCACCCTTCCTCGACCCACCTGTTTGATGCGCACCCTCAACTCGACCCACCTGTTTGGATGCACCCTTCCTCGACCTACCTGTTTGATGCACCCTTCCTTCGACCCACCTGTTTGGATGCACCCTTCCTCGACCCCCCTGTTTGATGCACCCTTCCCTCGACCCACCTGTTTGATGCACCCTTCCCTCGACCCACCTGTTTGATGCACCCTTCCTTCGACTCCACCTGTTTGATGCACCCTTCCTCGACCCACCTGTTTGATGCGCCCTTCCATCGACAGACCTGTTTGGATGCACCCTTCCCTCGACCCACCTGTTTGATGCACCCTTCCCTCGATCCACCTGTTTAAATGCGCCCTTCCATCGACTCCACCTGTTTGATGCACCCCTTCCTCGACTCCACCTGTTTGATGCACCCCTTCCCTCGATCCACCTGTTTAAATGCGCCCTTCCATCGACAGACCTGTTTGATGCACCCTTCCCTCGACCCACCTGTTTGATGCGCCCTTCCATCGACCCACCTGTTTGATGCACCCTTCCCTCGACTCCACCTGTTTGGATGCGCACCCTCAACCAGACCCACCTGTTTGGATGCACCCCTTCCTCGACCCAACTGTTTGGATGCGCCCTTCCATCGACAGACCTGTTTGGATGCACCCCCTTCCTCGAACCACCTGTTTGATGCACTCTTCCCTTGACCCATCTGTTTGGATACGGCCTTCCATCGACAGAGACCTGTTCTGGATGCACCCCTTCCTCGACCCACCTGTTTGATGCACCCTTTCCTCGACTCCACCTGTTTGATGCACCCTTCCCTTGACCCATCTGTTTGATGCACCCTTCCTTCGACCCATCTGTTTGATATGGCCTTCCTCGACCCATCTGTTTGATGCACCCTTCCTCGACCCACCTGTTTGATGCGCCCTTCCCTCGACCCACCTGTTTGGATACGGCCTTCCCTCGACCCACCTGTTTGGATGCGCCCTTCCTCGACATACCTGTTTGATGCACCTCTTCCTCGACCCACCTGTTTGATGCACCCTTCCCTCGAGCCACCTGTTTGATGCACCCTTTCCTCGACCCAACTGTTTGGATGCGCCCTTCCATCGACATACCTGTTTGATGCACCCTTCCTCGACCCACCTGTTTGATGCACCCTTCCTCGACCCACTCTGTTTGATGCACCTTCCATCGACAGACCTGTTTGATGCACCCCTTCCCTCGACCCACCTGTTTGATGCACCCCTCAACTCGACCCACCTGTTTGATGCACCCTTCCCTCGACCCACCTGTTTGATGCACCCTTCCTCGACCCATCTGTTTGATACGACCTTCCTCGACCCACCTGTCTGGATGCGCCCTTCCATCGACAGACCTGTTTGGATGCACCCTTCCCTCGAACCACCTGTTTGGATGCACTCTTCCCTCGACCCATCTGTTTGGATACGGCCTTCCCTCGACCCACCTGTTTGGATGCACCCTTCCCTCGACCCACCTGTTTGGCTGCGCCCTTCCCTCGACCCAACTGTTTGGATGCGCCCTTCCATCGACAGGCCTGTTTGGATGCACCCTTCCCTCGAACCACCTGTTTGGATGCACTCTTCCCTTGACCCATCTGTTTGGATACGGCCTTCCATCGACAGACCTGTTTGGATGCACCCTTCCCTCGACCCACCTGTTTGGATGCACCCTTCCCTCGACCCACCTGTTTGGATGCACCCTTCCCTTGACCCATCTGTTTGGATGCACCCTTCCTTCGACCCATCTGTTTGGATATGGCCTTCCCTCGACCCATCTGTTTGGATGCACCCTTCCCTCGACCCACCTGTTTGGATGCGCCCTTCCCTCGACCCACCTGTTTGGATACGGCCTTCCCTCGACTCCACCTGTTTGATGCACCCTTCCTCGACCCACCTGTTTGATGCACCCTTCCTCGACCCAACTGTTTGATGCGCTCTTCCATCGACATACCTGTTTGATGCACCCTTCCTCGACCCACCTGTTTGATGCACCCTTCCTCGACCCACCTGTTTGATGCACCCTTCCATCGACAGACCTGTTTGATGCACCCTTCCCTCGACCCACCTGTTTGATGCACCCTCAACTCGACCCACCTGTTTGATGCACCCTTCCCTCGACCCACCTGTTTGATGCACCCTTCCTCGACCCATCTGTTTGATCCGACCTTCCTCGACCCACCTGTCTGATGCGCCCTTCCATCGACAGACCTGTTTGATGCACCCTTCCCTCGAACCACCTGTTTGGATGCACTCTTCCTCGACCCATCTGTTTGGATACGGCCTTCCTCGACCCACCTGTTTGATGCACCTTCCTCGACTCCACCTGTTTGGCTGCGCCTTTCCTCGACCCAACTGTTTGATGCGCCCTTCCATCGACAGACCTGTTTGATGCACCCTTCCTCGAACCACCTGTTTGATGCACCCTTCCCTCGACCCAACTGTTTGATGCGCCCTTCCATCGACATACCTGTTTGATGCACCTTTCCTCGACCCACCTGTTTGATGCACCCTTCCTCGACCCACCTGTTTGATGCACCCTTCCATCGACAGACCTGTTTGGATGCACCCTTCCTCGACCCACCTGTTTGATGCACCCTCAACTCGACTCCACCTGTTTGGATGCACCCTTTCCTCGACCCACCTGTTTGGATGCACCCTTCCTCGACCCATCTGTTTGGATACGACCTTCCTCGACCCACCTGTCTGATGCGCCCTTCCATCGACAGACCTGTTTGGATGCACCCTTCCTCGAACCACCTGTTTGATGCACTCTTCCTCGACCCATCTGTTTGGATACGGCCTTCCTCGACCCACCTGTTTGATGCACCCTTCCTCGACCCACCTGTTTGGATGCGCCTTTCCCTCGACCCAACTGTTTGATGCGCCCTTCCATCGACACAGACCTGTTTGGATGCACCCTTCCTCGAACCACCTGTTTGGATGCACCTTCCCTTGACTCCATCTGTTTGGATACGGCCTTCCATCGACAGACCTGTTTGGATGCACCCTTCCCTCGACCCACCTGTTTGGATGCACCCTTCCCTCGACCCACCTGTTTGGATGCGCCCTTCCATCGACATACCTGTTTGATGCACCCTTCCTCGACCCACCTGTTTGATGCACCCTTCCTCGACTCACCTGTTTGATGCACCCTTCCCTCGACCCAACTGTTTGATGCGCCCTTCCATCGACATACCTGTTTGATGCACCCTTCCTCGACCCACCTGTTTGGATGCACCCTTCCTCGACCCACCTGTTTGGATGCACCCTTCCATCGACAGACCTGTTTGGATGCACCCTTCCTCGACCCACCTGTTTGGATGCACCCTCAACTCGACCCACCTGTTTGGATGCACCCTTTCCTCGACCCACCTGTTTGATGCACCTTTCCTCGACCCATCTGTTTGATACGACCTTCCTCGACCCACCTGTCTGATGCGCCCTTCCATCGACAGACCTGTTTGGATGCACCCTTCCCTCGAACCACCTGTTTGGATGCACTCTTCCCTCGACCCATCTGTTTGGATACGGCCTTCCTCGACCCACCTGTTTGATGCACCCTTCCTCGACTCCACCTGTTTGGCTGCGCCCTTCCTCGACCCAACTGTTTGGATGCGCCCTTCCATCGACAGACCTGTTTGATGCACCCTTCCTCGAACCACCTGTTTGGATGCACTCTTCCCTTGACCCATCTGTTTGGATACGGCCTTCCATCGACAGACCTTTGATGCACCCTTCCTCGACCCACCTGTTTGATGCACCCTTCCTCGACCCACCTGTTTGATGCACCCTTCCTTGACCCATCTGTTTGATGCACCTCCCTTCGACCCATCTGTTTGGATATGGCCTTCCCTCGACCCATCTGTTTGGATGCACCCTTCCCTCGACCCACCTGTTTGGATGCGCCCTTCCCTCGACCCACCTGTTTGGATACGGCCTTCCCTCGACCCACCTGTTTGGATGCGCCCTTCCATCGACATACCTGTTTGGATGCACCCTTCCCTCGACCCACCTGTTTGGATGCACCCTTCCCTCGAGCCACCTGTTTGGATGCACCCTTCCCTCGACCCAACTGTTTGGATGCGCCCTTCCATCGACCCACCTGTTTGGATGCACCCTTCCCTCGACCCACCTGTTTGGATGCACCCTTCACTCGACCCACCTGTTTGGATGCACCCTTCCATCGACAGACCTGTTTGGATGCACCCTTCCCTCGACCCACCTGTTTGGATGCACCCTCAACTCGACCCACCTGTTTGGATGCACCCTTCCCTCGACCCACCTGTTTGGATGCACCCTTCCCTCGACCCACCTGTTTGGATGCGCACCCTCAACTCGACCCACCTGTTTGGATGCACCCTTCCCTCGACCCACCTGTTTGGATGCACCCTTCCTTCGACCCACCTGTTTGGATGCGCACCCTCAACTCGACCCACCTGTTTGGATGCACCCTTCCCTCGACCCACCTGTTTGGATGCACCCTTTCCTCGACCCACCTGTTTGGATGCACCCTTCCCTCGACCCACCTGTTTGGATGCACCCTTCCCTCGACCCATCTGTTTGGATACGGCCTCCCTCGACCCACCTGTTTGGATGCACCCTTCCCTCGACCCATCTGTTTGGATATGGCCTTCCCTCGACCCACCTGTTTGGATGCACCCTTCCCTCGACCCCCTGTTTGGATGCACCCTTCCCTCGACCCACCTGTTTGGATGCACCCTTCCCTCGACCCACCTGTTTGGATGCACCCTCAACTCGACCCACCTGTTTGGATGCACCCTTCCCTCGACCCACCTGTTTGGATGCACCCTTCCTTCGACCCACCTGTTTGGATGCGCACCCTCAACTCGACCCACCTGTTTGGATGCACCCTTCCCTCGACCCACCTGTTTGGATGCACCCTCAACTCGACCCACCTGTTTGGATGCACCCTTCCCTCGACCCCCTGTTTGGATGCACCCTTTCCTCGACCCACCTGTTTGGATGCACCCTTCCATCGACCCATCTGTTTGGATATGGCCTTCCCTCGTCCCACCTGTTTGGATGCACCCTTCCCTTGACCCACCTGTTTGAATGCACCCTTCCCTCGACAGACCTGTTTGGATGCGCACCCTCAACTCGACCCACCTGTTTGGATGCACCCTTCCCTCGACCCACCTGTTTGGATGCACCCTTCCCTCGACCCACCTGTTTGGATGCACCCTTCCCTCGACCCACCTGTTTGGATACACCCTTCCCTCGACCCACCTGTTTGGATGCACCCTTCCCTCGACCCATTTGTTTGGATACGGCCTTCCTTCGAACCACCTGTTTGGATGCACCCTTCCCTCGACCCACCTGTTTGGATGCACCCTTCCCGTGACCAGATTCTAATGAACACTTCCTCAATTCACAAATGCGCCTTGAGCAGGATATCAAGCATGGAAAAGGCGCGTTATAAATATTCTCATTATTATTATTATTATTATTATCATAATGACATCAACACTAATTACATTACGGCATGTTGCCTAACACCCCTGGAGATGGCCTGCTACGTATATAAGCCGTGGTGGGTGCTCACTTGGTCATCATTCCCATCATCCACCATGGTCTTCATCGTGTGCCTAGCGGCTCTCTTAGCAGTAGCGAAAGCCAACAATTTCGGTAAGTACGCTGTATATGCATCGTGTGTCACATACGTTGTAATTGTTAGACGTCAAGTAACCTGTATAAAACAGTCCATATTAATTTAAGCATTCAAACTGCGGTTCAAAGTATGCAAGTTAACACTTTTAAAACAACCCGTTTCAACAAGTCTGCTTCAAATGCATCGTGTGTTTATAAAGTGTTCATATGTCTTGTAATTGATAATCTTTATGCAAAATACCTGGAATTTCGTTGGAAAATATAATATAAACATTCATACCCCGATTCAAGCTTTGCAAACGAATCCCCGTGTAACAATAATCAATTTCTTGCATTCCAGGCTTCAACATCGCCCAAAATCGTCCCACCGGTTCCAGCAGTGTCTTTGTCAACGGTGTTCCTCCCATCACCGCCAGCTCAAACCTCGCCGTCGACGGCAATTTCAACTCCGACTTCTTTGCCGGTTCGTGTTTCTCCAGCGATGTTCCGGCGAATGACCCCAACCCCTTCTGGTTCGTGGACCTGGGGTCCCGTCGCTACGTATCCGGCCTTACCCTCACCAACAGGGGCGACTGCTGTGGTAAGTTGGTACCCGACAACTATACGAGTTTACCTGGCCTTTCTTGGTTGTTTGTGTGTTTGTATTTTATCGCCACACTCAGCAATAGCCAAATATATGACGTCTTTCTGTAAATACTCGAGTCCTAACCAGACACTCTAGTGGCTGACATCATGAACATTGATGTACGCAAGTAGCATAACAGCCAAAGAGCCTGATCACCTAACACCATATTCGCCCCTTACGACACACATGGATTGCTGAAACCAATTCTAACCCGGATCTTCATGGGTCACCTTGTCGTTTTGGAATCTTTTATACATATTCCAGCCACTCTCGCCACGCAGCATCCTTGACCCATCCATGCCTGAATCCGTAAACACTGTGATGATCATTTTAGAAATAAACTTAGTAGTAAGTGCATCTTAAAACTGAATAAACACAAAAGTAAAAACCTGTATTTGAAGCATACGTTTAATACCCTTCACTCAACACCCAAAAAATGAAAGAAAAGATATGATGCCTAGCTTTTATTCTTCATTGTCTTAAAATTTTAAGATTTATTTAACTATATAATCTATGACGAGTGTCGTTGAGGGCTTATCTCCATACACACTACTATTCTTGTACTGGGGTTTGAATGAATACTTTGGTTAATTTGAAATAACCCATAACATCACTATACCTGCCAAAACCAACAAAGGCCACTCAGAGTTAAAATTCGCTGCATTTTCTCACAACTTATATGCATTTATAGTATGACCAGAAATTATTGAGAATTTTAGAAATATGTTTAATTGGATTTCTAGTATAAACAACCTTGATCAGCTGTCAAGTGCTTGGTTTCATTCAAGAGAGACAACTCCGTTAATCCTTTTTCATTAGTTTGTGAAGCGTTATCCCCCTTTGTTTACTTGCTAGCAGACGACATTTTCAGTGATCCTCAGTATGGATGATTTAGAGAAGAGGAAGTTGATTTTAGAGTATTATAACAACTGACTGAGTGACTGAGTTTGGGTTTACGCCGCTTTTAGCAATATTCCAGCAACATCACGGCGGGGGACACCAGAAATGGGCTTCACACATTGTACCCATGTGGGGATTCGAGTATTATAACAAGGACATCAGATCAGCTAAAGTGATTTCAAGTAGAACAGGCATCCCTTTGTCAACTGTTTATCGTATTTTGAAAGATATTGCAAATGGATATGGCATTGAGCACCAGGGAGGCGCAGGTAGGCCCAGAAAATTGACTGTCGGTGACAGGAGGTGGCTTGGTAGTCTTGTTTCTAAAAACAAACGAAGGAGTTTAGAAAACTTAAGGCTGGATATGATTGATAGAGGAACTATGGCTGTCTGTAAGGAGACAATTAGAACTGAGCTGCATGCAATGGGTTGGCAGAAAAGTCGAGGAATTCCATCACCGATCATGAAACCTGAACAAAAGGAGCGAAGGTTGAACTGGTGCTTACAGCATAGACATTTTAACTGGGACAATGTGATTTTCTCAGATGAAAGTTCTGTGTGGCTGTTTCCTAATACACTGAAATTCTGGACCAAACAAACTGAAAACCTTTGTATCAGCGCCCAAAGTACAGTCCGAAATTTAACGTGGGGGGTGGCATATCTGTGTTAGGGGCAACGCCCCTCTGTGTATTTGAAGGGAATATGAACAGTGAGCGGTACACAGATATTCTCGAGGACATTTACTTCCATCTGCTCGCGTGTTCTATGGAAATGTTTGGATTTTCCAGCAGGACAACGACCCAAAACATCGTTCAAAGCATTCACAGGTCTGGTTTCGGACCCAAAATATGACATTATTAGATTGGCCAAGCTATAGCCCTGACTTAAATCCAATAGAAAATGTTTGGGGACTTATGAAGGAAAGTGTCAATAAGAAAAATCTGACAAATATGGCTGAAATGAAAGAAGAGGTGGTCCGATATTGGGACAGCATGGGCCATGACTTTCTAACTTCTTTGATCAGTAGTATGCCCCACCGCATTGAAGCCTGCATTGCTGCCCATGGTGACTTGACAAAATACTAACTGTTCACCTGTCTTTGAATCTGGAGTTATGTTCTGCTAATATTCACATTTAATACGTGAGTAATGAATGAAAAAAATTACAATCTTAAATTCGCAATAATTTCTGGTTGTACTAAGTTATTCCAAGACAGTAATGTCTGGAGTACCACACTCGTTGATCAATCGGCTACTACGTACTGTGATTGAACAGCCTGCTGTTGTGCTATTGGGTGGTTGGTTTGTTGCTCAACGCAATATTCAGCTAATCCAGTGATCAACAGCATCAACATCAATCTACGCAATTGGGATACGATGGCATATGTGTCAACCAAGTCAGGGAGCATGACCACCCGATCCCGATAGTCGCCTCTTACTGCAAGCATGGGTTGCTGAAGACCAATTCTATACCCGGATCTTCACGGGTCTGTTGTGTTATTTAATTTAAAGAACATCGTCTATGTTTCAGCTGATCGTCTGAGTGGTCTTACGATCGAGGTCTTCGAGTTTAATCCCACAACCAGTACCGAGACTCCTGAGTTCTGCGCCATGGTCATTGGTGGAGTGGCCCTTGGTCAAACTGTTTCACTCTCCTGCTCTCCGACCGTGACTGGACGCTTCGTCCGTATCAGAAAACCCGCCGCCACCGACCCTCTCACCATCTGCGAAGTCACTGTGTCCGGAGGCAACATTAACTGTACGTATGCTTTGTCCCATGTGAAACCAATTACATTTATTTCCAGCAACAGTACTCCAATAATATATTTGTTCCTTCATATATCTAAATGCTGTACATTATTTAAGCAGAGAGGGAAGAGTACTCGAAGTAATTGTTAATTGTTAAAAATTGGTCTTTCTTGGGTTATAGTTACAAATGAATATATACTCACGGAAATGAATAAAGGAACACTTGTACTTTGAGGTGTTCCCTTATTCGTTTCTATGAGTATAGTTATATAGACGAGTTCTCCAAACATGAAGGACTTGTTTGTCGAGTTTGACCTTCCAATGTGTAGGTCTGGCTCCAGTCTTCAAAGTTTTCTCTTTATTTCAGATAACTTCAATAAACAGCCCACCGTCAATGTCGCTCGGAATCGCCCAGCGCGTGCTACCTCTCAGTTTTCTTTCGCTGCCACCAACCTCATTGCTTCCCCTGGCCTGACTGTGGACGGCAACTTTGACAGTCAGTTTGTCACCGGAAGAAGCTGTTACTCAAGCGCCATTGGTGACACAATTCCTACCTTGTACATCGACCTTGGTGCCTACTTCTTCATCAACTCCGTCACCGTCACCAACAGGGGAGACTGTTGTGGTGAGTATTGTTGTGTTCCTTATGTAGGTTAACCAACATGAGAGAGTCTTTGGGCATCATGAGCATCGATCTGAGCAATTGTCATACGATGATATTCATCAACCAAGTCAGCGAACCTGACCACCTGATCCCATATGTCGCGTCATACGACAAGCACGGGTTGCTGAAGACCAATTCTATCCCGGATCTTCAAAGTCCATCTCCTAGTACTAAATAAACATGTTCTTTTCAATTTCAGCTGAACGCCTGCGCAACATCAACATCGGCACTCTCCTGAAAGACCCCTACAGGTATCTTGAGTACCCTAGAGTTTGCGGCACCATCACTGGCAACGTCGCTGGAGGAGCTAACTTCACCGTCAACTGCTTTGCACCTTCTGTGGGCCGCTACATCAAGATCCAGAAGACCAGTCAGGCTGACAGCAACGATCTCCTGACCCTGTGTGAAGTACAAGTAACTGGAAGGTTCGCTTCCTACACTGAGGTGACCGACAAACACTTCGACAATGACGTTGCTCAGGCTCTGGCTGAGAATGGAATTATTTCTGTTGCTGGGTCACAATTTGCCGGGAATCACGGCAGAAGGGCTGTGAATTGATACGACAAATCCCAAGAAATGCAAGCCTGAGCTTCAATAGTAACGAAAGTCAGAAGTCCATTCAGCGAAAGCTAAAATCACTTTCCATCAAAGCAGGTCATCATTTATTGTTGTGGATTTGCTCATTTGTGGCAAAATAAATGTGGAGGTTAAATAATGACAGCGTTTTCTCATTTGTTTATAGGGCGGTGGGGTAGCCTAATGGTTAAAGCGTTGGCTCGTCACGCCGAAGACTCGGGTTCGAATCCCCACATGGGCACAATGTGTGAAGCCCATTTCTGGTGTCCCCCGCCGTGATGTTGCTGGAATATTGCTAAAAGCGGCGTAAAACCAAACTCAGTCAGTCAGTCAGTCCTTTGTTTATATGATGATATAAAGAATATTAGCTGAATGTCTATACGTAGCGTAAATACAATGTACACCGATGTTAAACAAAACCTGCATTGTCAGTGAAATATTTAGCTAATGGTGAATTGCAGAACCGTGAACAACGCTTGTGCGCTCCATGCAGTGCTGAGAGGCGTTTGTCACAAATCTCTCTAAACTTACCAGAAACTTTGATCCATAGTCTAATGAGCAGTCCAACTTAACAAACAAGGCTTAGGCTGTGCATGTTATTTACCGCAGTTTCTTATCTCCCTCCCAGTGTGAAATAGTAGAAACCCCCACCCCCCCCCACACACACACACACCCGGCTGTGAAAACTATGACCTGATGTGATGTAAAACAATCATTTGCACACACATAAAAGTTTCCAAAGCAAAGCGATTTAATCTACTTAATGAATAACACACTATTACCAAAAGATCTTAATTTAAAAAATATAAAACAAGTTACACAATTTGTGGAAAAACATATTATTGTAAACACAATATATTAGCATCCTAGTATAATCAGAAAAACAATACTGTTGAGTGCCTATCATGAGTGTTACCTATGTGCTGAGGCCTACATTGTATATGCCTACGACGTGCTTGTCAGTTGTCGGAAATTGATATTTCACGAGGTTAAATGTGAAAAGTGCAATCGAAAAGCTTTAGCATCACATCACTTAGTAACGAATGAAACATTTGCATCCCTGCCAACTCTCACAGCTTTGGCTTGAGACTCACGGTTTTATTACTCATGTCACTCTCTCACGATAACACTGATAAATCTCACGCCAAACTGGTTCCATATCAGGCAATGCTGATGCTGTGAATGATTTTCTAAAGAAAATGTAACCATTTTAAGGTATGAGTAGTTGTTTGATTTAGCATGCACATTGTGACCAGTTAAAATCAAACAAATAGGTCTCAATACATACTCGTATCCCCTGAAGCACCACTTCACGTTCCACCCTGGACTCGACCGGGGTCTGCGGGCATTAGACAACGGCATCTCAAGCTTTTCTCTCTCTTCTTGTTTGGAGCTCTGCATTTGGTTCAGCTGGAATTTCATTAGGCACGCATCATAACCTAAGCAACTGCCTTCCCCTTACACGCATGTACAGCCCGTGTCAAGTTGGAGACTCATGTGGGACCTGACCACCAAATGCCCATGTCATCTATAACCAGAGTTGATGAAGAGCAAGGTGCACGTGTGATCACCCCATGAACACATTTCACGTGGATCAAACAGTGTTCCTTTAGTTACGCATAGAGGTCTCGAAGTTCTGTTTACACATGATTGTCAATTTTATCTTGTTTTAAGTTGAATGTGCTTTACATGAGCCTTACATAATTATCAAATGCATGGTGCGGCTATTCTGTGCCTTATGAAGTGGGCTGCCGAATATAGCGACAGATCTCTTCTGAGGTCCCCAGACAGCTGCAGTGCCAGGGACCCACTGTTATGGAAGGCCTCCTTCTGCTGGTGTAAACCTAGAAGAGAAAAGACGTCATCAGTATATTCAAAATACTATTCAGATGGTTTCATTGCTAAAAAGAGTTGAAATCTGATGGTGCCATATCTAGTGAATACAGAGGACGTTCAAATCCACTGTCCTGAATAGCAGCCAACAGGCTTGACAACATTTCAATTTCGTTTAGCCTTGATATTCGGACACTGTCTCAGAACGAGGTAAGCATAAAAGCGGCTGCTATGGTAACCATCGGGAGGGAGTCTGCCACTGGGATTCCAAAGGAGTCATACAGAAGTCAGCTGATGGAAAAGACTTTGTCTCTTTTGAGACTTCATTTATAACAATATCAAGGATTTATCAACCAAGGGACGGCAATTGATGGTCCTCCTGAACCGGAACCATCTTCGAAGCTCTTTTCATCCCTTGCACGCCAGTTTAACACTGGCAAATGATTGAGTTGATACACTGAAGCCTTTACCATGTCACCAAGAATAGCTGCTGCTGTGTCAGCTGGATGTTCTCGATGGGGATAGCTGTTGTCCATTTTCACCAACAAGTAATAGCATGCCACCTTGATTCATACAGAAGTATGCCGAGTAGTTGTTTTATTTGGTCCAAATGCACCATGGAAGCATGGTGATTATTTTATTGAGAAAATTTAATACATCCAAAGGGTTTTGGGTGTACTGATTATCATAAATACGTTGCAACCGCTCCTTGTACCACCAGTTATACTGCAAAATATTTTGAGCTGATTGTAATAAAATGTTTGGACAAACTACTGCTGTAACAGCAATAATGCGGGATGGATAGAAAGCGTTTTTTCCATGAAGTCTGTCTTTGTTAAGGTTAAGTTATATGTATACAGATTTTCTACATGATCTCTGTAAAGTATTGTTAGCGCCTATTGATACAACAATAAAGAGTGTAACAAATGTTATAATTGGGACTTACACGTTCTTAATTCTTTGAATGGCATTTAGACGTGAGATAAACCTACTGTGTGGGAAAATCAGAGGTATATAACGAAATTATAATAGTTTCTAAATTTCATTTAAAACCGAACGCGTAGCGTGAGGTTTTAAATGAACAATTTAGAGCTATTATAATTTCGTTATATACCTCTGATTTTCCAACACAGTAGGTTTATCTCCATTCTACCATGACAATTTTATGAACAATTTCAGGTGGAGCTCTTTCTTTGGTTACGAGTCAATACGTGAAGCGGCCTCGCATTCCAATCTCAAGTGGTATCGCCCGAAACGGGGTGTTTGGTGGCAAACCGTCAATGACTAACAAACTCCAGATTCAGTAATAACAAATCACGTTTTGTTTTTTTCAATGCATCAATCACCAATCATTAACTGATAAGTTGGAAAACATATATCAAATAAGTTTGAAAAGCTTGGTTCACATTTGAAAATTCCACCGTAGACTCTTTCCCCACCAGAATAGTGGCAGCAACCTCATGGCCTTGACCTTTTTTCTCGAAGTCATTGTTTACATTTGGAAAGATGCGACAGGAGAGCCACTGACAGTTTGCGCAAGGTTAACCTGATTGTATGACTGAGATAGTCTTTGATATCTAATTACTGGTACTGGTACAAAATTTAAGAGTAGGGGCGCTTTTGCTGTAACGAGAAGTCCGTGTTGTACCGAATTTAGATACTGTTGAATTTTGCGCCCTGTCAACTTGACGATTTCACGCACCTCTACGTCTGCGTGCGACAGCTGTTGTGACTCTTACACACTCATGTGTGTACTTTGTGCTCAAATTCGATTCTACGGATATTATTTTCTACATTTTGGAAAGTGTTTTGTGACCTAGTGGCTTCAAAGTGTAGTGAATTCAAATTGAATCGGATTCGCTGGCATGTTCGCGAGTCTGTTGACAAAGAGCCAGATTTGTGGTGATATTTCCGAAAGGATGGATCAGGACACGAGGGTGTACCTCTGGCATAAACACGGTAAGGTAATTAATTATACTTTAATAGACTACTTTAGATCAAGCAGTGTAATGGATAAGAGGGATCATGACTAAGCTAAATAACTTTTCAACGATATTATACATTTAGAAAAAAAAAATATGTTGGGCTAAACAGAACGGTTTGCAGATTCTGTAGATCTAATTGTGTTTTACTACCGCTAAATTTGAAACAGTACAAATTTCAAAATATCATTTTGTTTGAAAAGATAACCCAACTGTTTATTTATGTGGACGGAAGGCATTAAAATTAAAATTCGGCGTTCGATGTTAATGCATCCTCCGTTACCGGATCAAGATCAGTGGCGATATCGTTGACGAAAGCTGATAATAAATTTAACACGGAAATTTTGTAGCAGTCTATTGCTGGATCTATTCTGACATAACATAGAATCAACGTAAACATATTTGTTTTTGCTGAATTTTTATTCGGAAAGCACACGATGTTTTGATCTTGTTCGACTGAATATTTGTTTCCATGCTTTCGAAGTACTTTTGTATGTATAAACACCTATTGCTGTGATTTACGCAAGTAGTGAGTCGTGCCCGTCATCGCTAAATCCATCTTTAAAGACATATGTGTAATTTCCGACAGTAAAATCGCCGTAATTTATCGATGCATCGGTAGGTTGTTTGGTGTCCGCCATGTTAGTGGGCAGACAAAAATAGTGCATTACCGTAAACCATGTATGATTGCGCACGGAAAACAGAGACCTGTATAACGTGATTATATACCTCTGAATGACTTTAATTAACCAATCACAATCTAGTGTTTACTGAAGTCATGGTAGAATGTGATATTATGTTAGCACTAATATTCAAATTAGGAATATCCGTACCAGAAATACTTCAAATATGTACTTGCCACAAAAACACAACTTATATACTGACAATGAATTGCGGGTACGACAACTGTAAAGGAGAGGTTCATATCAGTACAAGCCCTGGTTATTATTGTGTTCTATATATGAAAATCATTATAAACATTTGAAATTGTAAGTGATACCACATACAACTGCACATATGAGGTTAATTTGAGGTTAGAGGCCTCTATTAAGGGAAGCACAATATCCAGTCAATATTTTCTTAGAATCAATATAAATACAAAGTCAACGGGTTTTATTATAATCTATGGAACGTTTTCAAAGTCCTCTACTTCCTTTTAACTAAAAAGGCTTGTTTTCTGATAGAATGGGTGGTAAAAAGCAACGAAACTGGACCATTATGGAAAGGACGAAGATTATAACCCTTAGGGGTATGGGACTTCAGTGGACAACAATTAAAGAAATAATGGCCAAGGAGAACAATTTGAAGGTGTCAGTTAGTGGAATGTGTTTGTTGAAAAAGAAATACAGAGAAACAGGTGGCGTGAAGGACCCGTCGAGATCTGGCAGGCCGAAATGTATGACACATCGAGAAGACCGGTGCATCAGGAGACAAGGAAAGGTATTCGACCCTGAATATGATTCCAGGAAGACTGAAGCAGACACGGTCAGTAGGATGACGATCTCACGCAGGCTACATAGATTTGGGATAGGTTGTTATGTACCAGCAAGAAAACCTCTGCTAAACAACATGCAGCGAAAACATCGACTCTCGTGGGTACGAAAGGTGAGACGTTTTGGAGTGCCACAATGGAAGAAGATACTGTTTTCTGATGAATCTATCTTCAGGTGGTTTAGCAACCTAAGGAGAATGAAGATCCGACGTTTAAAAAACGAAAGATGTCGTCGATATCAACACACTATAATCAACGGCATAGATATTCATGGTCGTTGTCTCGCATTCCCTGAGAAAGAAATCATTTTTCAACAGGACAATGCCCCTGCTCATGCTTCGAAATCAACTACTGATTTCCTAGCTGCCAAGACCGCCTCCGTGGTGTAGTGGTTAGAGCGTCCGCCCGGAGAGCGGAAGGTCGCGGGTTCGATCCCCGACCGCGTCATACCAAAAAAACGTTAAAATATGGTACTTGTTGGTCCCTGCCTGGCGCTCGGCATTAATGGGTTCAACAAGGACTGGTCGGCTCGGAGTCAGTATAATGTGTCTGAGTGGGGTATTCATGCTTCACTGCGGCATGGTATCTCAGTGGGCTAGCACTATAAAACCAGCTTAAGTCTGGGCTAGTACAAGCAGCCGCACATACACATACACATGCATGCACGTCGTCATATGAGCGAAATATTCTCAAGCACGACGAAAACCCAATTTCACCTCACCTAGCTGCCAAAGGCATCCAGGTTTTACTATGGCCCCGGAATTTGCCCCATATGAATCCCATTGAATGGGTGTGTGGCATTATAAATGTCACCAGAGACTGATGGACTTTGGACATCCGTCCAAAAACACTGGTATAGTTTGCCAAATTCTACCTTTGACAATCTGTACCGTAATATGCCAAAAAGGGTAAAGGCAGTAGTCATTGCTAAAGGTGCGGCAACATGTTACTGGTTGTATTTCATGAATAAAACATATTTTCAAACTCTCGTTCATTTTTTTTCTTGAAATAGATGTTTACTCAGTGACATCTAACGATCTCACAAACCTACCGGACGCAGCTGTATATGCGTAATGTTACGGTGGTCGTGCAGATCAGTGAGTTAATTGGTTGATTTCAACATGTATTGGGTTAACGCCTTAAGCAAGTGAAGGGAATAATTAGTGTAAATGTGTGTGACCACGCCCTTGACTATAGTAATGACCACTTCCTCATTCACCAGTTAGTGCTTGGTCTGTGCTGATGACTGCATGAGCTGGACTGGATATTAACGTCGTCTTTACGATAATGTGTTTGTGTGTGTGTGTGTGTGTGTGTGCGTGCGTGCGTGCGTGCGTGCGTAAATACATGAAGCTGACACTATGGTTAATGAATATATATGTTTGCGATTGATTGATTATATAACGGTAAATACGCCACACCAGGCAGTTCAACATGGCATCTGAGATTGCAACTATTACAATTAACGGTGATCGCTCAGAGCCCTGCCCGCACCTTAAGTATTTCAGTAATGAGTATACATACTAACTGTATTACGCCAGGTTGCGCTTAATTACCCGTGAGACACGTATATAAGCCTTAGATCACACTAACTTGTCCTCATTCCCATCTTCCACCATGGTCTTCATCGTGTGCTTGGCGGCTCTCTTAGCAGTGGCGAAAGCCAACAATTTCGGTAAGTACGCTGTATATGCGTAATGTGTAACATACGTTGTAATTGTTGGAGTTCAAATAATGTGTATAAAAATAAAAATTGGTCGAAATTAATTTATGCATCCAAACTGCGGTTCCGTTTCAACAAGTCTGCTTCTAATGCATCGTGTGTTTATAAAGTGTTCATATGTCTTGTAATTGATAAACTTTATGCAAAATACCTGGAATTTCGTAAGAAAATATTATAAACATTCATACCGCGATTCAAGGTTTGCATACGAACGCTTGTTAAACACCCCATGTAACAATAATCGATTTCTTGCATTCCTAGGCTTCAACATCGCCCAAAATCGTCCCACCGGCTCCAGCAGTGTCTTCGTCAACGGTGTTCCTCCCATCACCGCCAGCTCAAACCTCGCCGTCGACGGCAATTTCAACTCCGACTTCTTTGCCGGCTCGTGTTTCTCCAGCGATGTTCCGGCGAATGACCCCAACCCCTTCTGGTTCGTGGACCTGGGGTCCCGTCGCTACGTATCCGGCCTTACCCTCACCAACAGGGGCGACTGCTGTGGTAAGTTGGTACCCGACAACTATACGAGTTTACCTGGCCTTTCTGGAATCTTTCACAAATATTACATCTTTTACAGCCACATGCCCGTAACCGTAAACTCTCGCTATTAATGTCCTGCATATTCGAAACTGCCGCCATTTTAAGAGAGTTCAAATTGTCAGCAGTGAATGTCAAACAAACATTGGAACACTTATTGAGGAAAAGGGAATTAATGATATCAAAAATTCATCGACATCTAAACTTCAATTTATGATATCACAAACTATGTTGTTGATATAACAAAAGTGAGTATACGATATCATATAATTGGTTAAGTGATCTCATAAATGCTTTTTTAGATTATATAGTATTAATTTTAAGACGTCAAAATTTCATTTCTGTGATATCTACAATTTGACTGTGTGATATCAACAATTATTTTATAGCGTAAATAATTATATTATGAAATCATTAATTCTCGAATTTGTGATATCAATATTTGAACTATTGACATAATATATTCAGGAATAAATACAACGGCGCCTCATACTCTCTTATGTACTATATTTGTTTACCAATCGACTACCTAGCGATTTATGCATGCGTGTTATAGAATCGACTCAAATTACACAATATGCTAAAATCTGGAAACAACATGCTGATATGTTGTTGAAGTTGGAAGGACATCTTTTATGTTTCAGCTGATCGTCTGAGTGGTCTTACGATCGAGGTCTTCGAGTTTAATCCCACAACCAGTACCGAGACTCCTGAGTTCTGCGCCATGGTCATTGGTGGAGTGGCCCTTGGTCAAACTGTTTCACTCTCCTGCTCTCCGACCGTGACTGGACGCTACGTCCGTATCAGAAAACCCGCCGCCACCGACCCTCTCACCATCTGCGAAGTCACTGTGTCCGGAGGCGATGTCAACAGTATGTATACTTTCTCCTATGTGAAACCAATTACATTTCCTTCCAGAAAGAGCACTTCAATAGTGTACTTGTTCCTTCATATATCTAAATTATGTACATCATTTGAGCAGAGAGGGAAGAGTACTCGAAGTAATTGTATATTGTTAATGATGGTTCTTTTTTAAAAGTCTGATAGTTACAGAAGAGCATATTTTCTATATGGATGAACTCTCTAAACATGAAGGGCTTCTTAAAGATGAGTGAGTCTGGCTCCAGTCTTCAAAGTGTTCTCTTTATTTCAGATAAATTCAATAAACAGCCCATCGTCAATGTCGCCCGTAATCGCCCAGCGCGTGCAACCTCTCAGTTTTCTTTCGCTGCCACCAACCTGATTGCCTCCCCTGGACTGGCTGTGGACGGCAACTTTGACAGCCAGTTCATCACCGGAAGAAGCTGTTACTCTAGCGCAGTTGGTGATTTAACTCCCACATTATACATCGACCTCGGCGCCTACTTCTTCATCAACTCCGTCACCGTCACCAACAGGGGAGACTGTTGCGGTGAGCATTTTTAGGTTGTCTTCTCGTACAACCCACTTGCCTATTTAGGTTGACCATGATCAGTTGTATTTCACGCTACTTTAAACAATGGTCCAGTTATATCATAGTGTGTCAGCTTGAGACTGGAAGACTGCCCGAAGCAGTGTAGGTGTCACACATCTACCACTTTGGTGAAACCTGGCCATATGATACACCTTGATACATTTCATTAATGCATCGTGTAATGTGTTTGTTTGTTATCTAACGCCGCTGTCTTATGGCGGTTGGTAAATACTGGATTCTGGACCAGACAACCAGGTGATGAACAGGTGAAGTCAGCGAATCTGACCACCTGTTCCCATTAATCGTCCTAAAAAAGCATGTGTTACTGAAAACCAATTAGAACCCAGTTCTTTAGTACTAAATAAGCATGTTCTTTCAATTCCAGCTGAACGCCTGCGTAACATCAACATCAGCACGCTCCTGAAAGACCCCTACAGGTACCTGGAGTTCCCTAGACTTTGCGGCACCATCACTGGCAACGTCGCTGGAGGAGCTAACTTCACCGTCAACTGCTTTGCACCTTCTGTGGGCCGCTATATCAAAATCGAGAAGACCGGTCAGGTTGACAGCAACGATCTCCTGACCTTGTGTGAAGTTCAAGTAACTGGAAGGTTCGCTTCCTACACTGAGGTGACCGACAAAAACTTCGACAACGACGTTGCTCAGGCTCTGGCTGAGAATGGAATTATTTCTGGTGCTGGGGCACGGTTTAACAGGAATGTCGGCAGAAGGACAGTGAATTAATACGACGAACCTCAACAAACGCAGCCTGATCTTCACCGGTCACGAAAGTCTGAAGTCAGTTGAACAGAAGCTAATGGCATACTATCAACACAATCATCGTTCAATGTTGAGGAGTTGCTCCGATGTGAGAAATAAATGTGGAAGTTAAATAATGACTGTGTTTTCTTCTTTGTAGAATAACCAATATTTGTCTGAATGTCTTTGCGTAGCATAAATAGCATATGTTAAAATAACAAACAAACATAAAACCATTCGTTATATGATAAACAACTACCCGGTGTTGTTTAAACGATGCACATGTATGTTACTGATCTTGAGCTTTCAATATTCAATATGTAACATGTAGATTTGAGATTCATAACAGAATCACTTGGTCTTCGGGTAACTAAACACAGTTCCTTAGGTTTCTAGTGTAAATGCAAAAAGCAATGCCTGGAGAGGTGGGATAGTCTAGTGGTTAAAGCGTTCGCTCGTCACGCCGAAGACCCGGGTTCGATTCCCCACATGGGTACAATGTGTGACACCCCCCACCACCACCACCCCCCCTCCAATGCCTATCATGGATATTATCCGTGACGGTGTAGTGAGGGCACAGCTCGTCACATTCTGGTCAGATGTCAGAACGTTTCGTACTTGTGATATTCCAAGAGGTTAAATATAGAAATAAGCACCTTGTGTCACTTTATTTAGTAACGAAGAAAAAAAACAAGCAGCTGAAACACCTTCGGTTTCACATTATTTAGTAACAGTTTCAAAACGTTTAAAACCCTACTCGTAATTGATGCAAAAGGATACAATTTGTATCCTCTCGGTGTTCCTGATCATCGATCATCTTGGCTCTTTTCATCCACTGAACTCCACGTTCAACTTCACCACAGTGGGAAACGAAAGAACATCATCCCATGAACCTGACATCATGTCCACGGGAATGGCTGCTGTAGTTTCATTTAGAGAGAATGACGGTACATGTAGCCTGTTGTCCATTTTCAACAAGAGATAATAGCTTGTCACTTTGATTCATGCACAGGTGTGCCGAATCATCCCAACCTGTGTTCCACGGGAGATATTGCTTGTGTGAGATCAAACGATATCTCCTAGGAGACAATGCCCTGACATCATCAATTAATGACTCACAATGCTATGACCCCATGAACTTGATGACGTCACAGTGCAATGACATCACTTTACTGCAAGTCTGACCGCCTCCGTGGTGTAGTGGTTGAGCGTCCGCCCGGAGAGCGTAAAATCGCGGTTTCGATCCCCGACCGCGTCATACCAAAAGACGTTAAAATATGGTACTTGTTGGTCCCTGCATGGCGCGCGGCATTAATGGATACAACAAGGACTGGTCGGCTCGGAGTATAATGTGTCTGAGTGGGGTATTCATGCTTCACTGCGGCATGGTATCTCAGTGGGCTAGCGCTATAAAACCAGCTTAAGTCTGGGCTAGTACAAGCAGCCGCACATACACATACACACGCATGCACGTCGTCATTTGAGCGGAATATTCTCAAGCACGACGTTAAACCCAATTTCACCTCACCTCACCTCACTGCAAGTCTCATAGCAGTACTGTGTTCAGTGATGTTCATTTTTCCTTGAAAACTAATGAAGAGTAACTTTTGATGATAAATGAAATTTCACCCTCGTGTCTACTGATATTAATTATATCAACACTCGGCAAGCCTCGGGTATTTGTAGTTTTATCAACTCGTGTTGATATAACTGATATCAGTAGACACATTGGTGAGAATCTCTATATCTCCCAAATGCACCCTGGAAGCATAAATACATGGAAACTGGGTGTATTTCTCATCTTGAAACGTTTAATGGAATCCGATTACCAGGAAACATACTGAGTATTTTTTTATCATATTAAAAGGCTTTGACTCATAGGTCTTTCAGCAGGCTGTGTCTGGTAACATCCTTATAGTGAGTGAGTTTAGTTTTACGTCGCTTTTTTAGCAATATTTATATATCACGGCTGGGAAACCAGAATGGGGTTAACACACTGTACCCATGTGGGGAACGGAACCCGGGTGTTCGGCGTGACGACCGAACGCTTTAACCACTAGGCTACCCGATTACCCAACCTATTAATATATATACGTAATGTTACAGTGGCCCTGCTTATCAAGGGGTCAACTAGGCGTGTTGAACATGTGTTGAGTCAACGCCGTCAGCAATGGGTATGGGGTAATTACTGTGTGTGACCACGCCCTGGATTATGGTGATGATCATTTCCTCATTCACCAGTTAGTTCCTGGTCTCTGCTTATTGCCTCATGTTCATAACGGACGGATGAGCGGGGTATTACAGGCCATCTTTCATTTTCAGTTAGCTGTAGCAATGAGAAATGCAAGCAGATTCTTCCAAGTTTGTGTTTTTCGGACCCGTCGACGTTTAAATAGTGATTTGGGTGGCAATGATTCCAGGTTTAGGGCCACACATGTAATTATAAGGGACACTTTTTATGTCTTTTTTTCACGGACTTCATGAATTCACTAAAAACGCATACAAAACAAAAAACATCGACATGGGCCAGTTTAGGTTATGGAATAAGTGTATTATAAAGAATATGAAAATGCGTTTATATAATTTTTTTCTCATTTATGTAAACAAATGTGTTGATCACGCTACCGTTTGCCTTTGAGTATATGAATCCCATTTGTGATGTTCCCCGCCGTATCCATATGTGGATATAGACGAAGGTTGTTCTTTGCCGAACCATGTTTACTCTCCTTCAGATTAACATCCCTGTGTAAAATTCTGCATGATCTTATCTTCTCTGGTTCTGGTCGCACGATCGATCTTGCGATACTCAACCATAGTCGAACCACCGGTGGCACCCATCCCATATCACCTGCTACTGCGCTGTTTGGCGTGGACTTCCTCACTCCCATAAAATACTTCATCTCTGTTATGAACTGCGTTGATGGCTGGAATGAGTGTATGTTAAAACAGCAGGAAGTGACTTAAGCAAACAGGTGATCTGGTTAAATGAAAGCTTTGTTCACGTAGACACTTCGACTATGTCACTTATTAAATGAATGAAGGGTGTCACGACATATTCAGGAGGCCGGCGATGATTTCGCGCAGAGACATGTCGCCCTGTCTTCAAAATATCACGTGACCACGAGTCTTTCCGTGAAGGTTTAGTGACCCAGACTTGTCAAGCAAACTGCCCGTCATTACATAGGTCTCACGAGATATTACACTCCGTTGGGTTCCACTTGCAGCATTAGAGTCAGCTATCCTAGGATAGAATCACTCGAGATGACTTGATCCCAGAAGTGGAACAGTCTAGAGTGAAATTATCCTGGGATCCCCTTTCAGCATCACACCACCACCCCCCCACCCCCCCAGGATAAAACCAACCCCCAATTCTCATTCCCTTATACAAAATCAATATAAGCAATGTATTTGTTGACAGTGAACAGTACAAAGAGTACAGTATTCCAGCTATACGACGTCTGTCTGATCGACATCATGAACATCGATCTACGCAGTTGGATAACGTTGACATGTATCTTCATGTACGTACATACCCGTTTGTCTGTGTATCTTCATGTACGTACATACCCGTTTGTCTGTGTATCTTCATGTACATACCCACACGTTTGTCAGTATATTTTCATGTACTCTCCCACCCGTTTGTCTCTGTGTCTTCATGTATGTCCCCATCCGTTTGTCTGTGTATCTGTGTACTCTTCATGTTTGTCTGTGTGTCTTCATGTATGTCCCCATCACGTTTGTCTCACCCGTTTGTCAGTATATTTTCATGTACTCTCCCACCCGTTTGTCTCTGTGTCTTCATGTATGTCCCCATCCGTTTGTCTGTGTATCT